TCTTCAGCGATCAAGTCTGGAAGGAGAGCATCACAGAATGCCAGGTTATTAGAACAAAGTGTTCTTGCATTGAGGGAGTACTTGAGGCCCAATGTCTGTCTGCAACCTTAATACTTAGCATTTTAAAATATGTACATAGATCTTTTTCCCTGTCATTATATAGAAATATGTTTACATATGTACATGCTTGTATTTAGATCTCTATAATTTAGACATCATATTCCACCTTCGTTCAGGCTTAGTAATTCCTCACTGCTACATTGCCCTTGATTAAGCCCCACTAGGCATTCTATGCCCTTCTTTCCATTGATTTTAGTTCACTTGTTGTTCCCTTGTCCCTGGGTCAGTTCCTCCCCAACCTCCTTCTCTACTCCTTCCTTTCTCCCACCATCCCTTGAGACTAATTCTTTACGGGAGTAGAAAGCTTTGTCTTTCTCCTGAGGAGTGACCTGTGGGTTTGAACTGTGGACTGCATGGTTAGTGCCCCAACACTGTAAAGTCACGTGAGGATGAAATGAGATAATGTGGGGACGCGATGGAGTGCATTGCGTCTGGCTAGCACAGTGTGTGGTGCACAGGAGACCCTCAGTGAATGCTTGTTTCCTTCCCCCTCAACTGCGTTCTCTGCTCTCCTTCCAGGTAGATGAGATATACCATGATGACTCTCTGGGGGTCCACATCAATATCGCCCTTGTCCGCTTGATCATGGTCGGCTACCGCCAGGTAATACTCCCTGGCGACAGGAGGGCGTGGGGCCAGAGCATCACACCAGCCAGGGTGTGTGGGAGAGTGGACAGCAGCTAGGAAAACCTCGTTGGCTTAAGAATCAGAACCCTAAGACCATTAGACCCGAGGCTCCAGTGGAGAAGGCAACTGGGGGTTGGTGAGGAGGGACTGTGGGTGCCCTCCAGCCTGAGGAAGTGACAACGCTGCCCTCTCTCACAGAGGAATGCTGGGGATGTGGGGCTTAGGGAATGCCAGTGAGGAGACAAAGCACCTTGGCTGAACGCTGGCCCCTGGGCTCTGCAAGCTTAGCCCAGGCCCATACCCTGTCCCAAATGGGAGTGACCGCAGGACTGATGAAGTCAAGGGCCAGTACAGAGGAGATGCTTGGTTAATGTTCTTCAATGATCACAAACGTGTTTTGTCTCTAACAAGGCCAGCCTTGGAGAGTGGGCCAGGGGATTGGAAACAAGGACCTTCGGTCCCGGTTCCCTGAAGGAAGGAGGACCACGTAGGGTGGTAACCAGACAGTCTCTGTGTCAGGACAGCTGGGAGACCCACCGGGGCCCACAGTTCTCCTGTGTCTGTCAGTAGAGAGCGGCCTGGGTACCCCCTGTGGTCCCTGGGGGTCTTGACTGCTCCTCCCCAGTGATGACCACCTCCTGGCCCCTGCAGTCCCTGAGCCTGATCGAGCGTGGAAACCCCTCGCGCAGCCTGGAGCAGGTCTGCCGCTGGGCACACTCCCAACAGCGCCAGGACCCTGACCACGCCGAGCACCACGACCACGTCGTCTTCCTCACGCGGCAGAACTTTGGGCCCTCAGGTATGCAAGGTACTGTCTTTGCCGGGGCCAGGTGTGTGCTGCCTACCAGGTGGAGGTGGAGGCTAGCGGCTGGGCACGGGCATGGGTGAGCTCTCTCTGGGGTCCGCTGGGGAAGGTTTGAGATTCTAATTAGCAAGAAGGACCATGGGACTTTGGGGACAGGACACACAATCAGGTGGGTAGGCTTTGAAGTGCCTTCGTAGGGACCAGGAGACATGAGAGGGTACCCATTCTGGTCCCTAACGTCTTGATCAAGCCTGGAGGTCAGGCCAAACCTGTGACTGGCCGGGCTCTGGCCCTCTGAGTATTGTCCCCAAGCCCTTCGTGGTCTTCAGGGTTCTTCGGACCACGTCATGCCCATCTGCCCTCATTGCAGCTTGTGGCATGACGAGGGTGGGGCTTGGGTGGGCTGCATAGAAGGAAGCCCATGCCCCCTCCCTGGCTCCAGCTCCCCCTGGCCCACCCACCAAGATCACGCCTCCCCTGGACTCCGGCTGTAGCGGGTGAGGTATCTGGCAGGGCATTGGGAACAATGCCACGGGAACACGGGGAGCTCTCGATGTTCCCCCCAGCTGGAAAGCTGGGGAGACTGAAGCATGGAGAGATGCAGCGGCTTGTCCACGCCTGACACGTGAGCGGAGACTGATCTGAGGCTCC